TGACCACTTCAGAGTTAAATTCAGACGTGAATTTTTTCAGAGTTATGTTGTAAGTCCGGGAGCCGTAAGTGAAAATTGTGTCTAGATATATGTTTAGGCGGAAAAAAATCAATAATCGTCGCACAAAAACATAACACGTGTCTCCAAAGTTACTTATTTATTAGTATTATAGATATATATATATATATATATATATATATATATATAATATGATGTATTACACATTTAATTAATATTAAAAATATTTTTGTTAAAAATAAATTGTGATGCTGTGCAAGGGTTGTTTGTTTTATACCAAGGCTATTTTAATGAAAAGTGACGCCAAACAAACTTTGATTCCTCTCACATTTATACCACTCGCTCTCTCACTCCGACTCCGACTCCGACTCCGACCATTGTTAAAGAATCTTTCTTCGACCTTCAATACAAGAATGGCTACGCACAACATGCTTGTGGTTGAGCCACCACGTACATTTCACTTGTCGTTGGAGCGATTAGCTTCGGGTTTCATTTTGAAACTATTACAAATCTAAATAAAATATATTGTAATATTGATATCGTTGTTAAGTTATAGATGTTTCTGTACAAGTTGTTTACAACCAAATTTATTATAAATTAGAAATTTTAGATTTAAAAATAAAAATCTAGTTTACTTGAATTATCTACTTTTTTGTGCATAAAGATAAAGACAATGTTAAACTATTTTGTTTGCTTATTAGTTAGTTTAAAAAGTTTCTGAAAATTGCAAAATCTGTCCCTCTGGTTTACAAAAATTAACGACTACATATCCTTCGTGATTTTTTTTTTATGAAAGATATGCCTCTACTTATAGTTTTATAATGGATTAGGTCCTTGCTAGTAGCATCGTCCCTTATAATGCGGTTAGTGAGGGTAGTTTCGTCTATTATCCCTTCTATTCCCACTACTTTCATTTTTATATTTTTAATCATTAACACTTGGTTTATATGACATAAAAAAATGTCTAAATATATATAATAAACTGCTTTATATAATGTCTAAATGTCCAACAATAAAATGTTCTATTCGGAAAGTGTTACAACAAATATATATATATATATATATATATATATATAGTTTGTTTCAAATACAACCCATTGCATTTGTACAACCAATGCAACCCAATATATTGAGATATTTATGGATATGATGAGAGTTCGTTTATTATGATTTGAATATTTATGGAAGATGAATATGGTTCATTAATTATGATCGATACTTTATATTAGGAAATAATAAAAACTTCTATGTAATCACATATTAATCAAATGAAATGGACGGTTGAAATTGAGTTGTATTGGTTATACAAATGTCAAGGGTTGTATAATAACTCACCTCTCTCTCTMTCTCTCTCTCTCTATATATATATATATATACACACACACACATATATGAGATTTACTATGTCAACCATGTTATTTGTACAAACCTCATTCAACCAATCATAGTTTTTCATTTTGTTCATTTTTTTGTAATTATGAAAGGTTTATTAATTATTTTTATTGTAGAGTGTGTTAATCATAGATATTACCATCTTCATTATTTTAATTTTAGAGAAATACATGAATCAGTTTCATTAAAATTTCATTAAGTATTATATGAAACAATTTCATAACCATATATGAAACAACTTTATTAAAAAAGTATTATATGAAACAATTTCACAAGATTAAACAATTTCATGATTTTTTTTTTCTTCATAAGATTAAACAATGAAATCGACGGATGAAGGTGGTTTACACGGTTTATACAAATTGGATGGTTTGCATTTGATCGCTCATCTCTCTCTCTCTCTGTCTTTATATATATATATATATATATATATATATATATATATAATGTTTTTTTGTTGTTTTAACGAGTTTTTTAAAACATTTCAAAATAAAGTGATGTAGTACTATTTTACCAAACATTTTTGAGATTTTTCCTATAAACACATTTTAATTGAACACTTGTTTTTATAAGACATTTTTTTTTCAAGTAATGTAGTTTAAAAAAATTAATAGGGCATAAATTAATTACTCAATAAAAAAGAATGAATAGGATAATAAATAATACAAAATACATATCTGGGTATGGTTGACTACCAAAAGCTCACTCTTTTTAAGTGGCAGAGTGTCCCCCTGGGCCTGGGGGATCGTGCATCCAAACCAAAATTTTCCCTATCAGATCCTCATGCTTCCCCCACAACCAGCCTGCCGTTCCCTAATTCTTGGTTATACCAACGGAATTGAGGATGCCGGTTATTATCCCGATCGATCTCCTTTATTATGTATCGTCTTCCTAACTTGCTTTACTACCGCAAATGAATTAGTTCCTTAGACTTTCAAGGTCAAGTCTTTATCCAGATTAATTTCTTGCTCTGTCCAATCCGGTCCCAAATGAAATGGTTGCTTAGACTTTCAAAGGTGTTGAGCACACTTTAAGGAACTTTAAACAGAAAAAATAAATAAACGTCCAAACCACCGAGAACAGATTTACAAAGAAACTTTCTGCCACCAAACGATAAAGACTTGTGGCCATTCTGACCATCATTGACAGCTTTACTACCTGCTTGCACCTCAACTTATTAGCTACTTGTGTATGAATAAAGTTATGAGTGTTCCATGTGTCTCACAACATTTGTAGAGCTTTCTTTCCATAATGGCCGGTCACCCTCATAGCTTGTGATACATGCCACTGCCAATGCAACTACAAGATCAATCTCAGGCTCTCACCTCTCCTCGAATCGATTATCTTTTTTTTTTCCTTCTGTTTACATTTCCTTAATGTTTCTTTTCTTCTTTAAAACTATGCACAATTTGCACAAAATACATACCAAAACCATAAAAACTATCCCCGAAAGAACTTACAACCGTGCTTAGAGAAAGAAACAGAAAAGAAGAATAAAAAAAAATCATAAAAGGGCTAAACTAAGGACTAAAATGCATAAAAGACACAACTAAAATACACAAAGTTAGGTGCATAAAAATGCACTTTAACAATTTAATTGCATCTAAAACCCCCTTTGCCCCCTATCGAATTGTTTGAAGTTTGATTTGCATCAAACCCCCCAAAAAAGGAGAAGGGTCGATTCATATAATTATTGTGCAAATTTGAATCAAAAATCAAGATCAGAAAAGGTCGTTTCGTTCCTAAACAAAAAGCTCAAGAAGCATGAACTGAGTTTTAGGGTCGATTATTCAAATTCGTGCAAAGTTGAATTAGGTTTTTGATTTATGTTAAAAATATGGATTTTCATGTAGGTTACATGATTGATTTACATGAGTTTTGTATCACATTTTTCATTCAATTTGTTTATGGATTCATTTTTGTTTTTATTTTCCTTTTTGTGTGTAAATTAGTTTGGTTTACAGATGGTTTAAACAATTTGTTTTTATGTTGTTTCCATGGGAAAAATTAAAAGTGACTCCTTTTTGGGAAATATTTAGAAACCTAACTGGTAGGATATGTGATTTTTTTTATTAACCTAGATATCCAATTCGTTATACGAGCCGATTAATTTCAGCAAGAAAGGTTATGTGATTGAAGTTGGAGGAAAAAGAAAAGTGTTAGGGTGGATGGTTATATAGAAAACGTATTTTTTAATCTTTTCTTATACAAATGGATAAAAAAAAAATTATAGCTTAATTATCTTATCGAATGAATATAATAAGGATTAAGAATCTTACTTGATAAGAAGGAAGACAAAGATCTAGAGTTTTACTCGGTAATAAAGATGATGACTTTTACTGAGTAATAAAAGTTTGCCATCAATCCATTTTGATGGCCAGTAATGCTACCTCATAAGGTAGATTAAAGTGATGATTCTAAACAATAAGTGTTTATCCAGTAAGCGTTTATAAACGGCTCTTTAATGTCCACAACAAAAATATATATATATTGATAAAAAAATGTGAAGGGATAATTTGTGATTTTCATATAACCATAGAGACGAGAATTATAATTCGATTTATTATTTATGTGCAATAAATTAAAGTCAGACAAAAACTATAGAGACTAATAATGTAATTTACTCTTATATGTATTTAGAACATATCTATATTATATTATAAAAGATTTGACAAAAACTCTTAAAAACCAATTTTTATGTACGAAATATTGTTTAATTGATGCATATTACTGAAAATTCAAGATTACAAGTAAATTGTGTGTAAGTACAACTTATTAAAGCTTTATGTTTGAATTGGTGTAACTAACTTCAGATAAACATAATCGAATAAAGAATAAACATCTCATTTTAAATATTAAAAAAACAAAATATAATTAGGATAATCATTGAGTTCTAACAAAATACTTAATTATTATCATTATAAAAATTAGATTATCAAACCAAAAATAGAAAAAATGAATTAAAGAAATACACACAAAAAAACGAGAATTTTTAAATAGTTAGTCTGATACTAATATTAATATTTTCTTTTAATTTTTTATGATATCTTCATATATATATATTTTATTCAAAAATAAAAATATTATCGTTTTCTAAAAAACGACATAAAACCGTATTATAACATCGACTAAGACAAAGAAAACGAAACACTAAAATCGAGATATATCTGTTGCATTGTGCGAGTAACCTTCTAGTTATTATTAGCAAGTTTATTGCATTTGAAACGGTTCCGTAATTTTAAAATTATTGCACCTTTTCAAGTTATTTTTAATGGGTGTTTAGGGTTGCTTTTATTAACTTATTTCATTGTGATACATGTAATACGGAGTTTTTAATGTTTAAATAAAGAAAAGAAAAGAAAATACTTACATTGGTTTAGTAATGATAATAAGAAGTTTTTGATAAGTTATTATATTCTAATTTTTTAACTTATTCTTATATGATATTGATAATAAGTTAAATGTATAGATGGAAGAAAAATAGTATTATCATTTATTTTTCCAGCTAACATGATGTTGATGAACACTAATTTTAATCCCAACACCCCCCCCTTACATGCACCTGCAAGATGCACCGGAAAGTTACCCTTTTCTCCGATGTCCTTATTAAACACGGATTTTATCCGGTATCATTCCAGTTTATTCGCCAACTTGCTTCGTCTCCTTTCCTACGAGAGTTACCAACAAATTTACAAACTTTATGTTCTAATGGTCACCTCAACTATGCGCTGACAGATATGGCAAAATTAGGCCTTCAAATGAATTTCCTAGCCTACGACACTCTCTTAAATGAGTGCGTAAAACAGAAATCTATTAGAGGAGGTCAGAGGGTTCATGCCCATATGATCAAAACTCAGTATAGACCGCCCTTGTATCTTGGAACGAGGTTGCTTGTGTTGTATAACAAGTGTGATTGTTTATGGGATGCTCGACAGGTGTTTGATGAAATGCCTGATAGAAATGTGGTATCTTGGACTGCTATGATGTCTGCTTATTCGAAGAAAGGGTATGCATCTCAAGTTTTGAATCTTCTTGTGGTGATGTTAAGATCAGGTATCCTATTGAGTTTATGCTTTAATCTTGTTGCGTCCTATTGATATATGTCATGTTAAATTTGTAATTTCGAGTTGTAAGGGAATTAATGAAATTCGCCAATTCACATGAGCATGGCGTATTAATCTGTATAACATATTTGGAGGACATACCATCTACATATTTTCTTGAGGAACCCATCTTGTGGTGTGAAGGTTCGTCAGTTAGCATCATTATCTGTTAAAGTATTTATATGTGCTAAAACACCCACCCCACCCAATATTTGTGCAACATGTCATTAATATAAATTTCATGCGTGGGATCTTGTGTGTTAAAAAACGTTTGTGTAGCAGTTGACAAGAGACAAGGGGCTGGCGTGGGTCAAGACTCGAGAGAGGTTCCATACCTACCCTTGCCTTTTTGGTGCTTTGGACTGTAGACTGTTAACGGAGGCCTAGAATTGAACTTTTATCCATTGCACAATTTCAGTTATTTATCTTTAGTGGTGGATCTTTCTTCATTTCTTAAGATTAGGCCAACCATGTTCACAAAGGTTCTTGGCTTTGCAAGGGTTAAAGGGGAAGTCTGTGGGTGTAGTCCAACCATGATCACAAAGGTTCTTGGCTTTGCAAGGGTTAAAGGGGAAGTCTGTGGGTGTAGTCTATCCCTTGCATTTGGCAAAGAGATTGTTTCCACGACTCGGTTACAAAGGAATAACCTTATCGTTTAAATGGACTTTCCCCTGAATTATTTCTAGAGAAATTTTCAAAAACCACTTTTTCACTCTTGAAAACCAGAGTTATCTTGACCACAGACATTCATCCCACATTTCGGCAGTTGCAAGTTTGGATCAAAATGGACGAGAATCATTCTTTCTTTAGCTTACAAGCACGGGAACTTCTAGAATACTTGTTTAGTGCAAGGGAGAGAGACAAAGAGGCTGATAATTGACTTGGATACATCTTTTAGAAATTTTATTTGGTGCTATTTTCATACTCTATCACCCAGATGGGATCTAGATGTCGTGATTTTATTACAAGTCAAAAGGAAAATTCCAGTGTGGTAAAGATTTGAGGAACCTTTCTATGTAATTATAAATATTACAGCATATATCTTAAAAGTTCATACTGATACAACCCCTATTATGTGATCATATCTAAGTTCTTATGTTGTACACTTGTTGCTTATGGTGATCTAAAATTCAGATCAGCATCAGAGAAATCCTGCAGGTGCCTTTGTATTTATGAATTATGTTGCCACACTAGTACTAAATGGAAGTATATAATATGTACTCAAACTAGTTCTTGATGTTTGTGTTTACAATAGCATATGGTTATTCTAGGTACTGAGCCAAATGAGTACACATTTGCAACTGTGCTCACTTGTTGTACTGGAGTTTGTGGGCTGGAGCATGGGAAGCAAGTCCATAATCTTATAATAAAAAACAATTTTGAATCCCATTTATTTGTCGGGTGCTCTCTTCTTGATATGTATGCCAAAGCTGGACGGATCCATGAAGCCCGTTCTGTTTTTGAAGACCTACCAGAAAGGGATGTTGTTTCTTGCACTGCCATTATCTCCGGCTATGCCCAATTGGGTCTTGATGAAGACGCCTTGGAGTTGTTCCGTAGTTTTCAGAGGGAAGGAATGGCTTCTAATTACGTTACCTATGCTAGTGTTTTGACTGCAGTATCTGGACTTGCAGCATATGAAATGGGAAAGCAAATTCACAGCCATGTCCTTCGGTCCGAACTTCCGTTTTATGTGATTCTTGAGAACTCTTTGATCGATATGTACTCAAAATGTGGGCAACTCGCTTATGCAAGGAGGGTGTTTGATAAAATGTCTGAAAGAAGCGTCATCTCATGGAATGCAATGCTTGTGGGATACAGTAAACATGGAATGGCTAAAGAGGTGGCTAAGCTCTTTGAACTCATGCGAAAAGAAAACAAAGTTCAACCTGATAAAGTAACTTTCTTGGCTATATTATCAGGTTGTAGTCATGGAGAGATGGAGAATAGAGGGTTAGAAGTTTTTGATGAAATGATGAGTGGGAAAGATGGGGTTGTGCCAGATATCGAACATTATGGATGTGTCGTTGACCTGCTAGGTCGTGCAGGTCAAGTGGAAAAAGCATATGAATTTATCAAACAGATGCCTCTGGAGCCAAATGCTGCCATTTGGGGTTCTCTTTTAGGGGCTTGTTTGGTGCACTCAAATGTTGATATCGGGGAAATTGTTGGTCATCGGCTATTAGAAATAGAACCTGAAAATTCTGGGAATTATGTGATTCTTTCTAATTTATTTGCTTCTAGAGGAAGATGGGATGATGTGAGAACTATAAGAAGTTTGATGAAAGAGAAGGCTGTTGCAAAAGATCCAGGAAAAAGTTGGATTGAAGTTGATCAAACCCTTCACACTTTTCATGCAGGAGACCGATTGCATCCAAAAATGGAGGAGGTTCACGATAAGATGAACGAATTATCAATAAAAGTCAAGGAAAACGGATATTCTCCTGATCTGAGTCGTGTTTTATATGATGTGGATGATGAGCAGAAGGAGAAGATACTGTTAGGCCATAGCGAAAAGTTGGCATTGGCCTTTGGACTCATTTCTAGTCCCGAAGGAAAGCCGATCAGGATCATGAAAAACCTTCGGGTGTGTGTTGATTGTCATAGTTTTGCCAAGGTTGTGTCTCAGATTTGTCAAAGAGAAGTGTTTATGAGGGATAAAAACCGGTTCCATCATATTGTTGGTGGCGTTTGTTCGTGTGGAGATTACTGGTGACTTGATAATTTCTTTTCTACTGGCACGGTATGCAGTTAGAGCACAGACAGGCTTGTCCATCACAAACTGGCTTGAACATCCACGATGATCAATAAAATCTGAAATTTTTGTCGTACACATTATTTACACCGAAACAGTCATTCTACTCCTCAAGATAGAAGTCATGTATATAATTAGGATAATCATAAAAATCAGAACTTTTAAATAGTTGATTTGATATTAACATTGATATATTTTTTTTCAAATTTTTATGATATTTTCAATTTTATATTTTATTCAAAAATAAAATATTTATTGTTTTCTTAAAAACACATAAAATTATAACATTAACATAAACAAATAATAAAATATAAAATTAAAATCGAGATGGCTCTGAAATGCTTGTTTGATTCCTGAAAATGTAACAATAAAATAAGTTTGGTCGCTGATGCTATGCTACTTACTTATCTCCACCAATTCTTGTCTGCTGGTCGCAATTGAAGATGGTTCCACTAATTTCTCTTGCAACAATAATCTCAGCCTTCATTCTTATTAGTATTTATATTCTTTTTTTTAATATATGAAAATTTTATTTCGTAAACTAATTGATAACCAACTGATAAACATAATAAAATGCAGGACAGATATTGAGTTCTACTAATACTATAGAACACTCTACGAATAATTTTTCAAACAGACTCTCTCGCTCGAATCATCGTTATATATTTGCAATCCATTTAGAATTAGGTGCACAATTGGTTATCCAGTAACAGTTTTATTATTATTTTTAATAATATTCAAAAATAAAAATATCATTGTATTGATATAATGTATCTTTTCATAATTAAAAATAAATAAAAAAGATTATGAAAAAAAAAAATCTACAATACAGATTTTTTTGGTCAAATTAATAATTTTCTTTTTCAGTTTAAAAGAGAGAATATGTATTAGTTGTCGGTGGCAAACCATCCACATATGATTCGATAATATCTTTAATTTTAGGGAAAAGATTTGAAAACCTGAATGAACTTAGTTTTAAATAATTAAATGATTAATTTTTTTATTTTAAATAATTAAGTCATTAAACATATTTATGAATGAATAAACATCAAACTGTTAAAAATCGGTTACATATATCTTTTTAACTCTAAAAAACTACATGCAACTAGCTAATAATGTTTTAAGTAAAAAAAAAAAAAACTTAAATCAGTTTTACCGTTTTCTCAAATCCTACGTCATCCAAACCCTCATACCCAACGCCATTGCTCCCCATCCCACCATGGTCGTTGTTCCCCCTATCATCGATCTCTTTCTGTTTTTTAAATCTATTCTTTTGGCTTTCGATGCTCTCTTTTTTTCAGCAACTTAATTAAGGACGTATAGACAAATTAAAAAAACGAGAAGAATCAGAAAAACCAAAAAATATATATATACATCAAAAAGAAAGATATTGACGATAAGAGATGATGAAGAACGGACAACGATGATACATCGAATGAAGAAAGATAGCTTTGGATGAAGGGATGCTGAATAGAAAAAAAAGGGTATGAATAAATTAAGTATCAAATGAAAATGATGGATTAACCGAATGGCATTAACTCAAGATCCTGACTCTTTGTCTGAGTAATCATTAAATGAAATATGAGTGCTTACCAAGTTTATATATAAAGAGATATTAAATGACATGTTCTTTCATTTTTAACAATTACAAGATATCATATAAATGAAGCAACATCACATGCTCCATGGCTATACAATTAAGCAACATATCATGTGAACAAAACAACCTGCAAATTTATCTATATATTTAAATATCCACCGGTGATTTGTGACGGATCATCGACGACCACGTGTTTTTTACATTTAAAAAAAGAAACCAGATATCTATTCAGATTTGAAGAAAATCAAGAAATTAAAAGCAATAAAAAACAATAATAAAATCGATAAAATGGAACTTGAAATCAAGACACCGATAACAAGAAGGAGCCTTTTGATAGTAACTGAATAAATTGTCAAGTTTTTAATTAAAAGAAAATGAATTTTAATATACAACCTTGTTTACTTATTATACAACAATATTTCGTCCAATAAAACTAACTATTAATTAAACATTTATAGACGAAATTAATATCATTAATAATAAATAAAAATGGAAAAAATATTGATAAAGTTATTGGAAACTAAAATCGTTGAAATTATTTTAAGATAAGATTTAAGAAAACAAAATAATTACATAACTATCTATTTTTTTTAATTAAAATTACATAATTTTATTAATTTTTAGATATAATAATAAATACAACTAATCAAATAATTTTTTTTTATAAAATCTAAAAAATAAAACTGATTAAATTCCACTCTAGTTTTCCCATAAATCGAAGATTCCAATATTTTATGATTGGAGGAGCATGGCTTTCATCATCGTCACTACACCAACTTCGACCAAATTTTGATGGTAATATATATATATATATATATATATATATATATATATAGAGAGAGAGAGAGAGAGAGAGAGAGTGTGTGTGAGGGGGTGGAGAGAGATTCAATAAAAGACCTTAAAAAAATGAAAAATTGATAAATACTTTGAAACTGTTCATACAAGTATCTGAAACTGTTTTTTGGTTTTATGCGCGTGTGTATGTTATGCACATGTGCATATCAGACAAATTGCTTTCAAATTACTTGCATGTATATGTGCATACCGTCCAAATGAACGATTACTAAGGTGTTTCTCAGTTTTTCATCAAATCAAAATATTGTGATAATTGTGGGAACTTTTATCTTGCCATATTGTTTCATATGATTTTTTCTCATTTAAGGTTAGCATTTTATGTATTGATGAACATATATTTCTTTTACAATGTGTTTGTTTCATATGTATGCGATTCACATTGTGAGACTTTTTAAAATGTAGTGTTTGTTTCACAAACAAACTAAAAAGGTTTATATTGTGAAACAAACACGTATGAAAAAAAAAACATATTGTGAAATAAACATATGTTAATCGGCATTTTAAATCCTAGTTTTCGATTAAAAAAAATCATATGAAATAGCATATGATACATAGTTCTCAAGATTATCACAATTTTATTGGTTTTCAAACGAAAGTTCTCTATATATAAAATACATTATAATTAATCATTAATCAATCATATTTATTAAATTATAAATGAAATCGAACCAAATAAATACTCCCTCGCTAGAGATGAACATGATCGACAAAGAATCTTATTCGGTCGATGGGTCAAAGCTGATGACGGTGGTGAAGTACTAAATTTACATTTATCACCCCTTAAATTGTGAAAATCACATTAGTTACCCCAAACATTTCGGTTTTCTTAGCAACACCTCCATTAATTTGACTTTTTCTTAATGTTTGACTTTCTTCTACAAATGGTTCTACAACAATAGCATAAGAATCGAGTTTCAAAAAGAGAAAAATAACCAAATAAAATAATACGAAAATGTAAATTAAATGTAAGATCACATGTAATTGTGCGTTAACTGTTAATATAAGGGTGTGCGGGCAACGTGGCCCGCAGACATTACGTCGTGATCAAAATTGTGTGAATCACATGTGATTTAATCATTTTCTTATCCATGGTTTTATTATTGTTCTAATATAAACATGACTAAGAAAAATAATAACGTAAAAAACAAGCGATTACATAAGAAAAAAAAAAGCCAATCGTATTTGTTTTCACATATTTATTTAGATTTCACATGTTTTTAGAATGTGATTTCTAGAGAACGTCCGCCATTTCCGAGTGTAATATCTATGTTATGTATGGCCATGCCTAAGTGCATAACGGTTGAAGCATTAGCTCTCCCTGAAAAGAAGGTGATCCAGCCACACCTTCCAGTACGGCTACCTTGTTGTGGTTAGGGGTGAAATATCACTCGAACCCAAAGCTAACTCATTATCCTTTTCTACATAAATTTTGCATCTTATAATAGAATTTTCTCTTTATACAATTCACATCTTCAAGTTCTCATTGAAGTCATTTTTCGTATCTTTTTATTATTATCTCGTTATTTTACATTAAATTTCACAAAAACAATTATTATATATAACGTATTAAAATCAAAAATAGATTTGAAAAGCATTAATTATTTTATATTTTTAATAATAAATCATATAAACACAAAGTTATTTATGTAGTTATTTGAATATTTGTTCACGATATACAAAAACGAATTTTCTTTAACGTTATTTTAAACTTTACATCGGATCGCTATAACATATGTCATTAAAAAATTACCAGAAAAAAATACAGTATAAATGATGAAAGAAAGGGTTGAAAAACAGTAAAAAGTAAAAAAATGGTAGTAAGTTTTAGGAGTGTAGTGAGATTTAAGCGAATTCCCAAGGGGGCATTATTGATTTGACAAACACAGAATATAACGCGTAACGTAGCCGAAAATTCCACCTCAGTCACTACCACCAACTCATGACTGCCCACCTCACACAATATAAACAAAATCCAGATCTATATAACATAAAATAAATCCAATAATAACCTATCAAACTATTCATTTAATATATATATAGGTGATTTATTATAAACATTTTATATTTATACAACTAATACAATTTAATTTCAATCGTTCTTTTAATTTGATAAATATATAATGTCATAAAAGTTATGATTATTTCATAATATAAAATATTGATCATAATTAATAAACTCTAATCATTTTTTATAAATATTTAAATCTTATTTAAATAAACACTTATCATTTCCATAAATATCTCAATTAATTAGATTGCATTGGTTATACAAATAAACATGATTGTATTTGAAATATATATATATATATATATAACCAAAATGATAGAGACATTAAAACTATCGAAATGCAATGCAGCCATGGAAGAGAGGATGCAGCCATACATATACATACATACACACACATATATATAGATAGAGAGAGAGGGAGGGAGAGAGTCCACGTTACACTCGCTTTCTTGCTTTCATCCCCAAGATTCAAACCGTCGGTACTCATATTTCGCTCTCTCTTTGTTTGTTTCTCCATATTATTGAATTTGTCTTCTCGATTTTCTCCAGCTCTTATGCTTATTGTTGCTTGCCTCTAGGTAACTTATGATTGCTAAATGCTTTCAACAAATTTATCGTTTATGCTCAATTCGATTTACGTTTTCTTTTTTCAATCTGCTAATGTCTGTTGTGTTTTTGCGTATTTGAAGTATTATTCATTCGCAATCTAAAGTTACAGTTGGGAATTAAAACCATTGTGTTATTCCGATCTGTTGTGGATCACCGTCTGTGTCACCAACCTTGAATGGTTATGATGATAGTTTAATCGTTGTAGGAAGTTTTACTCTGTTAGATTGTATGATGAACAAATACTTCAACTTGATGCACTCTGCTAACTTGTTTAATGCTGCTAAGCTACATTATTATCTCTTGCTTTGATTAAGCCTGAACATTTTAATATAACTTTCTGTTTCAAAACCCTAGTTAACAACTGAATCAATGGTTTAACCATACCCCACTACTGGGACCTATTAGGAGCTCATAATTGTGAGTACAAGTGGTGTGGGACATGTTAGAATTTAAATGTTAACTTTGAAGGCCAGATAGCTGAAACATGAAGGAAATAGAGACAATATAATCATGTAATTAAATTGACAGATCATCATCCCCAGGAGATGTGTCGGTTTAGACTCGCTGCAACTTGAGGGGCACAATTGTGGCCCCATAGAAATAAAACCAGATCAAACCAAACAAGCCTACTAAATCTTAGACAGAAGTAGGGTCTTCGGGTAGGATTTATGCAAACCTTTCCTCTGCCTCAAAATGTAATGTTTCCGTGATGTGGCCCCACATATGACTCATATATAAGTATGCTATGTTGTTTTTGGAAACCAACTTCCAGGGGTTGTAATGAGCTCACAATCCAGAATTATCGCGGATGTGGGATGACAAGTTGCATGGTACATTGTCCATCATTGGAATGATTTCATGCTTTTGTCGCTGAATTTTTTCCCAGTTATAGAATACTGAGCTGTGATCTTATCTAGTTTTGAGATATGTAGACTATTTTGTAATCATTCATAGTGTGTTTGGCTCATCAGAAGTTTTCTTTGTGCAGTTGAAGAACGAACGGTATGTTAAGTATGAAGCAGGCAGATAAGAAGCGAAATCTGACAAATAATGAAACAAAACGTTCTACAAGGGTCGTAAGCAGAGAGAATAAGCTGCAACAAGAAAAGCCAACCAAAACTTTAAGAGCAAAGGAAGCAGATAAGAAAGCTTCATCTGCCAGAGTGAATTCCAGTACTGTGGTAAGTGACATAAAGAAGAGTGCAAAGCCCTCTGAAGTTTATGAAAAATTGGTTGAGGCGGCATCTCGAAATTCTAAAGGCCTTCAAGTGGCTAACCAAGAGAGCAGATATACATATAACAAACCCTCTACAGATTTAAATAAGGAACCGAATGATGGGAGGGAAGAATCAGACTCTGAAACGGTGACTGATTCTGTATCCTGCAGTGGAGATTCACGGGCTACTGAGGATGATTTACATAACTTACAGATTAATACATCATCTAATATCTCCAAGAAAACAAAAAGATATACTAAAGAATCTCCTAGTAGCATAGCCAAATACTCTGTTGGTAACAACTCAAAAGGTATGAAAGTTCATCCAAAACCATCATCAACTCCTTCATCCATATCCTCTGAAGGAGTTGATAACCAAGATTCTGGAGAATCAAAGGAAGTGGATATCTTGGATGAGGCCTCAAATGGGATACAAAGTGTTGGAAGTGATGGTGAAATACTTCACACTGAGGAGAACTCACACCATGAAGCGAAAGAGGCTTTATATCGAAAGATTACACAAATGAAAATGAGAATTGAGAAGCTTGAAGGGGAGCTAAGCGAAGTTGCTGCTCTCGAAATGTCTCTCTACTCTGTAGTACAAGAGCATTGTAGCTCATCACACAAGGTGCACACTCCTGCTCAGCGCCTTTCTAGACTTTATATTCATGCGGGCAAGCATTTCTGTAAAGGAAAGCATGCCTCAATTGCCAGAAACACTGTATCAGGGCTTGTTTTGATTTCAAAGTCTTGCGGGAATGATGTTCCAAGGTATAAACTAATTTCTGTTTTGAGGTGGCATTGATTTTTTGTTTCTCAATATTGTAGAATAATTATGCAATCCTACTCTGCATTTGCAGGTTGACTTTCTGGTGGTCAAACATTATTGTATTGAGGGAAATGGTTACCCAAGCATTTGGAAGTTCATGTCAATTGAGTTCATCGACAACAGAATCCAATAAGCTTGACTTCATGGAGTTCAATGATGAGTGGCAAGAAACAAGAACCTTCACATCAAAACTTGAGAAAGTTGAGTCTGGGATCTTTGTACGAATAGTCGAATCTATATGGTGGCAGGTACAGACTGTAGAATTCAAGAATTGCGTTTTCATCATATTAAACTTAAGTAGATATTTTCCCTTGTGGTCAGCCCACCTGACAGTTTTCTGGGAATAAATATGTTCTAACCTCTACAGGGACAAGTTTATAGATGAGGTTATGGGATTAATCAAAGTACAAATTCAATTGTAATATCTCTTGTTTTTACCAAGTTCTTATGGTCCTATGGGTGCAGACCTTGATGCCTTATATGCAATCTCTAGCTGCTGAGAAAAACACGAACAAAACTATAGGGAAATTACTAGGACCCACTTTGGGTATCCAGCAACAGAGCAACTTTTCCATTAATCTATGGCAAAATGCTTTCCACAATGCTTTCAAGAGACTTTGTCCTGTTCGTGCAGAGGGGCACAAATGTGGTTGCCTCCCAGTGTTGGCAAGAATGGTAAGTTCTGATCTGTTCCGGTGAAATGAACTAAATTTTCATTAATTTCATATATAGCCACTCACCTATTTTCAGCTTTAACCATTGAGAGTATTATGAGATCCTTAATTTTGTATGATCAGGTGATGGAGCAGTGTGTTGCCAGACTTGATGTGGCTATGTTCAACGCCATTCTCCACGAGCCTGCCCATGAAATTCCAACTGGTCCAGTATCAGATCCTATCACTGAATCCAGAGTTTTGCCTATTCCAGCTGGGGATCTAAGCTTTGGCTCGGGGGCACAACTCAAAAAGGCAGTATGTACTTCACATCTAGTTAGAAACAAAAGATGAAGCAATTCATTGCCAAATCATCTTCTTCAATTAGTTTAAGGGATTCTACCAGAAACTAAAGAGATCTACTTCCATGGCAGGTTGGCAATTGGTCTAGATGGCTCACTGATAAGTTCTCAATGGACGCTGACGATGATGATGAGCTTGGGGAGACTAGACTTGGTGAACTAAAATGCTTCCATCTTCTTGATTCATTAAGTGGTCTTCTAATGGTACCCAAGGACATGCTTCTTGACAGATCAATCAGAGCTGAGGTTTGCCCTCTATCTCGGAATATCTCAATTCATAATGCATAATATAATCCTCAAAATCCACCTGATACAAATCTTTCATAATGTTACTAGGTATGTCCATCAATAAGTCTTTCGTTGCTTACACGAATACTAAGCAATTTTACTCCAGATGAATTCTGTCCAGATTCAGTTCCAAACACAGTATTGGAGGCACTAGATGCTGAGGTATGATCCTATTTTCTCCCAAAGTTAACAAGCATACTTGATATTTTTTGGACTTAATAACAAGAACCAACATATGATCCTGAATTAGTTGTCACCTCCCTATTTGTTGACTCTTTTTTTCCTGGTTTGTGTAGTCCATGACCGAGCGTAGATTATCAAAAGACAATTCCAGCAGCTTTCCGTATGCAGCTGCAACGATCATATATAATAAACCTCCTTCCTGTATGGAGAAAGTTTCTGGATTGAGCATAAGAGAGTCCGTTATCCAGACGAAAGAATATATGAGTGATGAGGAAATTGAAGAATATATAATCGAAAACGCCCGTGCAGTAAATGGAAATGCAAGGTACGATCTTCTTCGTGAGGTTTGGTCACCATGAGACTTGTAACTCAACAAAAGGAAAGAAAAAGCAGGATTTAGATGGATAAATTACTGGTTTTTTGGATTCAAATCAAATGCTGTTCTGAAATCTAGGAATTTGGGTATGAGGGAAGAGATTAGTTCTAAAACTTGTGAATAGGGGTTTTGGATCAAAGAAAGGTTCTGTTTATATGTTTAAGAAAGAAATATATATATATATATATATATATATATATATATATATATATATATATATATACACCCAACAAATACATACAAAGATGCACATCATAAGAGTGGTTTGAGTTTAGAAACTTGACTTTACACATATTAGTTTGATTTTTTGTCAATGGACAATGGCCTAAAATAGTTGGGCTTGTTTGGTTGATCAAGATTGGCTCAAGATATCATGTTTGAATCAATGAATTCAAAGGTTCTTTGTCGATTCATGCCAAAAGTTTCATTGTTGAATGTAGTTTACGGCTTCTTGTAAAGTTAATTTAACAATACACAATACTTAAAACGATGGCTAAATCAATACGATCAATTTATTTATTGATCGGATTTCATTTTATTTCATGGGATCAAGGACCAAAATGCCCGAAGTAGTCCAGTTGTGGACTCATGGCTCTTGGTAGCAGCGGCAACTCTTGTGTTCTGGTTATGGTATTTTTGTATAAAAACCTATAAAATACACAATTATTTTGTCTAAGGGAATTATGAGATGTTGGAACCCCACGTTTATTATTAGATCTGCACCATTTCTTCTCAATATATATTATAATCTTACTTTAATTCTTTAAAAACTATTTTAGAAAATAATTTAATAAAATTTCATGTATTTGAATGGAAATAAAGTGATATGAATTTGAGTTGGTCACGTGTGTTCTACTGAAATGCGTTGATACCTAACTCTATAACATGGTTTGAGTTTTGCCACTCAAACACATCTTTGTGGTTGTAGACATGCCCAAAAATCAACTGGTCCTCATTGGATTTGATCCTTACCTCATATTCTTACTTATTTCCATGTTTAAATGTGTTTTTTTTTTTTTTGAAGTAATGCTTGCAAAAAGGCAATTTTTGACAAGTGATTTTAAAATATTAATAATCGAGACCAAACTTTGATAATTGTTGAATGGTTTATTGCAGAATGATTAAGTAGTGAGAATGATTAAAAGACTTTCATGATATAGTGCATAATGAAATATAATTGTTTGATAATTGTTTACAATGAAATTAGAACGCTGAATGGTTAAAGGGATCCCATGATACAAAATTATTCAAAGGGGTTTAGAATCATTAGAAAATAAACTTTTTTTTCCCAAACAAGATTCGACTCTTAAAGACTCAGAGGTTGCCTCTTAATGAAACTATTATAAGATAAACAAACAACCCCTAAAAATAGTACAAATATATTCAACAAACTTTTTTCTAAAATCCTTATCATCATAACATAAATCCAATTAAAAAAAATTATGTTTTATTAAAAGACATAGATGTTTATATTTTTTTATCCAATATTAAGTAAAATTTAACAGAAAGACCGTTTTAGACCGAAAAAGCAAGCACGTAGTTATCATGAAGACTACGAATCACTTAACTCGTTGGATGAAAATAGAATTATTTTTTCAATCCACATTTCCCACGAAACGGATCCTGACGTCTCGATACCCACTCGTAAACATAAACTTGAATCTCGGAGAATCGAATCTCAGTTGGAACTTTTTTTTTTTCAAGATTACGTGATTACGATGACTCCAAATACGTTGTTTTATGGGTACGAATTTATATTTGATACGATCTGTGTAAGGATCCAAAAAGAGTAATAAATGAAGTTAGGCAATAGTCACCTACGGAAGTGGACCACGGGATGGATAAACATAAGCACAAGATGTGATATCAAAAATGGATTGGGATATAAAGTGGCATCGTTTTGTGGGATCTCACCCACCTTCTTAAATATTTTCTCATTTATTTTTTTAATTTATTTTTTTAATCTTGAAGAAAACATATAAATTCAAAAACGAATTAAACTCGTATATAATAATCACAAGCTCTTTTATTTATAAAATAAGTCGTCTCATATTAAAATGAATTCTAAAGTGTTTTTCGGTCATCTTTGTCGTATATTTTACTTAAGAGTAAAGTTTAGTTTTGGTCCTTAGTGTTTGTACTTTTTAACGAATATCGTCCGTAAATTTTATGAGATCATTCATGTTTGCCATTTTTCAACGAATTTTGTCGCTTTATCTAACGACCGTTAAGTTCAGTTATATGAAGGACATTTTTGGTATTTTTACCTTTAACTTGAATTTTTCATTAGAATAATAATTATATGTAAAAAGTGTAGACTTGTAGTCTTTTATGAGAACCAATATTGAAGAGAGTTCTTATAAGAATCTTACCCTCTTTGAGTTCTTGTACAAGAACTTTGGTTCTTAAACTAAAAGGGTGGTGTCTGATTGGTTTGAGCTTGGCTTCAAAGGTCAAAAGTATCAGGAGGTCACAGGTTCAAATCTATGGAGAAATAAAAATCACCTTGTGGCCGCGGAGGTTCAAATACGGTGACTCTGGGCTATCTGCAAAGCAGGTGGTCGTCCTGGGATTAGTCGGCTCGCATAACGGGTTGGATAACCAGGTTAATAAAAAAAAATAACTTTTGTTCTTTTAAAGTTGGTGTTAAGTGACAGTTTGCTTGTTTTTTTTTTATATATTTTCTTGACTTTTATGTCCAATATAATAGTTAATATACATGTATTTCTTGATCCCGGAAAGTAATGACTTTCACAGCAAGCGTTTGTAGAATGGGGGTTGAATAAAAATACAACAAATTTTCGTTTTTTAATTCTATATTTGTATAAAATAAAGAATTACATATTTGTTGAAGCATCTAGGAAGGTAAGACCTGTGATCCTAACAATCTGACTAGTGAGAAATTTGCTAACACTGAAAGATTGGGAGGAATGAGGTATTCTTTCATATCCGAATGGCTAAGGAACTTCTTCAGATGTTGGCGCTGATTTTGCTTAAGAAACTATCATATAGAAGTTATTTTCAAAATGCGTCAGTAGTACTTAATGACAAGATTGACCTTTTATACATTGCATTAAATGTTAATATCTAACTCTAACATATGTCTTCATCTCATTGGGTGATCCATTCGTATTTGTACTCTTTATTTTAGTCTTTGAGATTGATGCAAACACTTGTTAACATACCTCATCCTTCCATATGCCAAAGGAACAATAAAGAAAGTAGGACATTAACAAAATAGTGTTTTAGAACTTAATTTGGCTGATATTTTGTGCATGTTCTCATACCAGAATTCAACTTACTAGTAGTAGTATTTGTCACACTACTAGTTGATTTTATCTTGTATTGATCTTCTTTTTGGCTAGATGACAAACCAATTCGTTTTTTTAACGAACTTGATCTCACTTCAACTAGTCTTCGATTTTTTTTCAAAGACATTTTCTTCTTGAATCAGTACAGATAGTTACAAGACTTTTACAAGTAAAAATCCTATCTTTTTTCTATTACGAAAATAAAACTATATATTAGATTTCCAACTATAAAAATATTATGAAGATGCTTTATTGGATACTAAAAGACTTATACAAAATGTGAGCACTTGAATCTTAACCTTAAAGTGACAAGAGGACGGTGAATTAGGTTTCCGTCAGAACTCAAGCTTAAATCCCAAAACCGTAAGTTGTTTTTCAACAAAAAGATGGAATCGAATCAAAAGAGAGAGAGAGGGGGGGGGGATCAATCTCCAAGAAGTGTAGGGATGGAGACAAGAGGGTGTTTTTGTTTCGGTTTGGACGGTTTAACCCCCTAGACCATAAACTAAACAGCAATGGCGATTTAGGAAATTTTATAAACCGAGCGTTTGGCATCAAATAACCAAATCAGTCAAATTGGACCACAAAAAGGAGTTCTAATCTGTCCAGTTTAGGCGGTTCGGGCCTCTTATGGACTTTAAACTCAAAAAAACATAACGTCTATCTTCAAAATAAAATTTCTACCGATCTAACATTATTAAAAATATGATACCTAATTATAAAAGATAGATCTATCTCTATAACCAAAAAATATTGAGCAAACTTAAAAAAGGTTAAACAAATCTACTAACAATAGTTGAAATTTTGGAGAAATATTGAGCAAGTCGAATGACGATTTGGATTTTGGATTTCGTTTTGGAATTTGGAATTCGGAATTTTTTCAATTCAAAAATGATGACGTCAATTGAGAAATGAAAATTAAAAACAAAATGTCCTAGAAGATTTTTTAATCGTGGCAACCTATAACATGAAAAATAAATATAATTAATATATATGTATTTTTTGACGGTCGATTCGGTCTAGACCGCTAAAAAAGGTTCAAACCGCATACTAGACCAAGCGTTTTAGCTATTATTTAAACCAGACCGGACCGTCAGACCGCTCAAACCGCCAAAAAACGGTCCTGTTTGAACGGTCCAACGGTCTTTTAAAATACATCTAAAGACAAGGGTTTCAAGGTCGTCATCAAAAAGTTCATAGCTTGAACCAAGATGGTGTTATTGTAATTCCCGTTGGAATGACTCATTGTGTTTTTAACGACTGTGATATGAATCTTATACAATCATCTTTTTCAACTGTGATTCTTATAAAAAAAATTAATAGAAAATTTCATGGAAAATATAAAATGACCAAAATACCTCTCAATTAATCGGATTTAATGAGGAAAAAAAAAGTTAGCGGTTGTTTGACAAAGGGACGTAATCCACTAAAACTAGACAAATGTAAAGGACAAAATCCGGTTTTATGAAGTTTAAAAACGATATTCATTAAAACGGGTAAAAGCTAGGGACCAAAATTGAACTTTACATAATGACCAACAATTCTAATTTTCCATCCCATTTATATTAATAACTAGTTTTTATTTTTTATTAAACATAATTAGTTTATCAGGTGTAACTTTTTTAACTGTTATAAATAACTAATGAGAAAGGAATCAAATGATAGTTGTTGCTTCTATTATCAAATTTGATTAGAAAGAAAGAAAAAAAAAGGATTAATTAATATTTTGACTTGTAATGTTGAAGACAAGTTGACTTTTGAAACGAGGGGTGGTTGTTCCATCATTCATTATATGTTTTGTATCTATATATTTTTGTACATACACACACTTAAATTCCCACCTTCCTCCTCCTCCTCCTCCTCCTCCTCTTTCCTCTCAATCAGACATGAATTCTTTCAAGCTTGGTTTCCTTTGTTTTCTTCTACTGTTTCTGGGTTTCAACTTCCCTGCAACTGCATCAAGTAAGATGTTCATACTTTAATTATGAATGATCCGTATACGGTTCGAGTTTACGACCTCTAACTTATCTTCGATAAGCCGCTGTAACTTGTGGTTTGGTTTTCGTTTCGATGAACAGGAGGTTTTCGATGGACGAAAGATGAAGTTGTACTCCAAGAAATACATTTTCAGGTTCTTTTCTTCTTTTGTTTAGAGAAATTATTGTTGTTTCTAAATGGTGGGTTGTGACTTTTGATTTGATGAGTGTAGGATGAAATGAACACCAGGAGTTATGAAGAGAGGTCCGAGTTGGATGAGTTAACGACCAGAAGAATCGATCTTGAAAACACGGATTATGGAGGAACTGGAGCGAATGATCGCCATGATCCTAAGAGCCCCGGAAGAGCCTGAAATAAGGGTCTATTTGGTTGTTTTTCTGTTGAATCATGTATGGATTAAGCTGTCTGTATAGATTAAGTTGTCTGTATGAATTAAGCTAAATTGTTGTTTGTTGAATGGTTAGTTTGTATGATAAATTAATGCTGAGTGATGAGTTATTTAGATTGGATGCAAAACCATATTTACTTTTTGGCATATCACAGACACAGAGTGATCATAAAGAGGAAACTAAGGGATAATGTTGTATAAAGCAATGCAAACTTGATAATTTACATATAACTTGATTATGTGGCTTTCTTGTTTCTTGGTTCCAACATCAAACGGGAACCGAATGTGAAGATGCCGATAGATCGAGACTCGTAAGGCGAGGCTTTGATCCGAGAGACTGAAGGGCTGCTACAGCTTCAAACATAGAAGGGCGTTTTTCTGGCATGACCGACGTGCATTGTAGACCGATTTCAAGCATTCCCAAAGCATCTTGTTGACACGAACTCGAAAGTTTTGGGTCAAGAACTTGAACGGCGCCGTTGCTGATGTTAACTTTCCGTCTTACCCACTTCACAACATCAAGAGTCTCTTCACTCGAGTCGATTTGCTCGGCTGCTCGGCCTGTTACCAGTTCTAATAAGATCACACCGAATCCGTATGTGTCCATTTGTTCCGTCGCCTTTTTGTTGTACCCGAATTCTGCACTCAGATGGCATTGCTAGTTAGCATCAAAACAAGAAAAACACATAAAATTACTAACTATGCGGGGAAAAAAAACCTCATTTTCTTGTTTATTTTGGAAGAAAACGAAGGATGAAAAGGGACTCTGGAATGTTTGTATACCTGGTGCCATGTAACAGGAAGATGCAGATATAGAATCCATGGAGGATTGGAATGCAGTTTCACCTAAAAGCCGATCCAAGGCAAAATCTGTAAGTTTAGGCTCGAATTCTGAGTCCAAAAGAATGTTCTTCGATTTAACATCCCTGTGCAGCAAATGGGGAACGTAGTCCTTGTGAAGATAAGCCAGTCCTTGAGCAATTCCGATGGCGATTTTCAGGCGAAAATTCCACGCCAACTGGAACTCTCCTTTGCCGATCAAATCACCAAGACTCCCTTTTTCCAGACACTCGTAGATCAAAAAGATCGAATCATAGGAATGGCAGAAGCCCAAGATTCGGACTACATTTTTGTGCCTGATCTTCGCCAACGTCTTCACTTCGGTTCTTAAAGTTTTGAAAGATTGGTTTCCGAAAGTTGGTATCTTTTTCACAGCAACAAGCTCGTTGCTAGGCAAGTTTACAATATAAACTCTGCCAAAAGCTCCAGAACTACCTCGAGACGCTTTTTCATCCATTGCAATGATCAAATCCTGCTCAGTAACTCGAAGTGGATAAAAGAAAACTGATCTCCAAATACCCGTTTCAGATTTTCGCTTTGAAGCTTTACGAATAACATAAAACCCAAACGCCAAACTCAGTAATCCAGCTAATAAAGCTAGGGAAATCAATGCACAAGCCAGTTTTGATATGCCGGCTATTCTGCGATTAGAACCCTCATTTGAACACGAATTAGACAATCCAGGGCCACACAACTCGGGATTTCCTTGTATATATAAGGCGGGAAGGCCTGCGATTAACGAAGAAGGAACTCTACCTGATAATCTATTGAAGGATACATTAAAAAGGGCAAGTTTCAAGTTTTGAAGCTCGAGTGGGATTTCACCAGTAAGGTTATTATGCGAAAGATCAAGGTAAGTTAGCACAGGCAAATCTCCTAATGATACTGGAATTTCACCAACAAAATTGTTATCGGCCAAAGACAAAGAAACTAACTTTTTACACTGTTTTAGCTCAGGAATTTCACCTGCAATGTAATTGTGAGAGAAATTGATGATGCTCATTACAGGTGAATCGCAAAAATTGGGTGGGAGTTCACCATATAAGCCATTAAGAGAGGCAGAGAATCTATACAAGCTTTTAACCAAGCCAAGACCATGAGGAATCTTGCTAATAAAACTGTTGTTATCTATCTGTACTTGTTCTAGTTGAGAAGCCATTGATACTGAATCAGGGATTTCACCAGAAAACCTATTGTTTTCGGCTCTAATAAGCTTGATTTTAGGCAATGACCACAAGTTATTTGGGAAATCCCCATGAAACCCATTGTTCTGAAGCTCTAACCTTTCAAGATTCAAGCAATTAGCAATGGACGTATTGGGTAATGTTCCATTGAAATTGTTTGTATGAAGGCTAAGAGTAGCAAGCCCATTGGCTTCACAAATCCCATTTGGGAAAGACCCAAAAAGATTATTCTGTGAAACATCAAAAGAAACCAACTTTGTGAGAGAACTTCCAATTCTTGAAGGTAAAACACCTGTAAGATTGTTCTCCGAGAGGTCAACAACGGTCAAACCTTTCAAGTCAACGATGGAGCTTGGTATTTCGCCATAAAAACCAGATCTTTGCAATAAAACCTGCTCAAGTTTCAAAAGCTTCCCAATATCACTTGGAATCTCACTCTCCATGAAAGGGTTTAGAGACAAATCAAGAACAATCAAGTCTGTAAAGTTTCCAAGAACAAGAGGGACACTACCTGAGAGCAAGTTGTTGCCTAGATTAAGAACTTGAAGGTTCAGTAACGACCCAACCCCATCTGGGATCTTCCCTTCGACATGGTTTTTGCTCAAATCAAGAAACATTAGAGACTTAAACTCAGAAATCTGATCTGGGATAGTACCCCAGATGAGATTATTACTAAGGTTGAGAGTGTTTAAAGAAGAACACTGAGAGAGATGCAAAGGAATGGGCTGGTTAAAGAAATTATCAGCCAAGTTAAGTGTGATAATATCAGAGAGTTGGCAAATGGAAGGTGAGATTTCCCCTGAGAGATTAAGATTTTGAAGGGTGAGAGAAGAGACGGTGGCGGCGGTGGTGCAGGCGACACCAGTCCAGTTACAGTGGTGAGTGGTGGTGGCGTTGGACCAAGAAGAGAGAGAGTTCATGGGATCATCAATGGCGGATTTGAAGGTAAGCAAGATATCTGGTTCGGAAGAAGCATTAATGGTGGAGATGAGGAGAGATGAAAAGAGGAATGTGAGTGAGAGTGAGAGTGTGCAGTAGGAAGCCATTGGCATCGGAGAAGGAAGAAAGAGGGTTGGGTTGGGTTGGATATGGAAATAAAGTGGATCCGTGAAGTGAGAGTGACATTTACATTTAGTAGGATGATATGGGGTTTTGTCTTTTGGTATGTAGTAGTCGTAGTAGTACCCGTGAAAAAACTATGCAGGGAGACCTTTCTTCTTCCTTTATTTTATTCCTTTGCCTTTTTCCATTATTGGTCATAAATATTTTTTATTTTTTTTATTAATATTTGACTTATATATATACTATATTATAAAGTATTTGACAAAAAAAATTAAAAATAATTTTTTATGCATGAAGTATTGTTTATTGATGCATATTACTTAAAATCCAAGATTACAAGTAATTTTGCTTAAGTACAACTTATTAAAACTTTATTTTTAAATTCATATAACTAGCTGCAGATAAATATAATCAAATACAGTATAAACATCCATTTTAAATATAGAAAATCTAAAATATAATTAAGATAATTATTAAGTTCTAACAGAATGTCTAATTATTATCTTTATATAAATTACTTTGTTATTAGACCTAAATTAAATTAAAATAAAAATTTGAATCAAAGAAGTTACACAAAAAAAAAAAGAATAACTATTATACAGTTAATTTGATATTAATATCGATTTTATTTTTTTCAAAATTTTATGCATTCTTCAAATCTATATTCATTCAAAAATAAAAAACATTATCGTTTTTTCAAGACCATACAAAATCGTATTATATCGATAGAGACAAAGAATACAAATTAAACATTAAAATGAAGTATCTCGTTGTATTGCGCGAGTACCCTTCTAGTATAATTAAATGAAAACACCAATGGCTTTAAATAATGTGACGATGAGGTTAAACTTCAAGTCATGATGTCTTTCAGGACATTATTTGTAACGGTAAATTTGTATATCATAAACAATACACATGTTTTCCACTCTTGCTCAATAAACCAAACAATTTAAATTGGGTTATATACTAAAAACTAAAAGGGTAAGAAATAACAAATATCGTGTTACAAATCCGTGCATTAGATAATGATGTGACACATACTTAACGTGACGTTAGATATGAATTTTAAGTCAGGAACAAAGACATGTCATGGAGAGCCTTTTAGTAAAAATTTGTATCCAAAAAGATTTAAGTATCTCGTTAAATAAATTGTATCTTTTTAATCATTGTATTTAATAAGAGTCGTTGACTAACCAATAGATATCTTAAACCCCCAAAAAATTATTAATATTAATGCTGCAAATGTTTAATATTAATATCGAATCAACATATTTTTTTTAAATGATAAGTTATTAAATGTTGTAGAAGATGACGAAAACAATTTGTTGTTTGATTGCAAATTAATATGATTAAAAATATTCAATTATGTAAATTAAAAAATTAATGAATTATTTGCATTGATGATAGCAACATCGTGATAATGGTAGTTAATGCAAATGGTTTCCTAAGAATTTATTTTTATTAAGCTGGATATCAAACCCGTTATGCGAGCCGACTAATCCTAGTGTGACCATCTGCTTTGCAGATAGTCCGGAATCATCGCATTTGAACCTCTATGGCCACAAAAGGATTTTTATTTTTCTTTCGATTTAAACCTGAGACCTCCAGATACTTTCGATCTTTGGAGTCAAGCTCAAACCAATCAGGCACCACCCTTGTGATTAGAAAAGTTGGTATTGCATAAGTGAAATTTATGTTTTAAATAAAATTACTTGATATGATTATCATTGTTATTCGCTCTTTTTAAACGGATAGAAAATCCTTAGTCTAATGATCGTATTACCGAGGCTCTTAAGAAGACATAAGTTATCGTCAATGAAATTATCGAATCCATTGGAATTTTTTGTTTTATCGTATAGAACGAAATGGACCATCCAACCAAACGTGCTATACCATTTGGGTGAGCCATTTTACGATATGTAAATATATTGAGAGAAAGAGACGGGTTCAAACGAAAACTATGACTAAATAAGATAACTTGAAAATGATCAACTTAACGTAAAATCACATGTGATTACATGTGACCTTCTCTGCAAGCCAAGTTGTTTGCACATCCTTACGTTAACCATGGTCTATAATCTTATGTGATTTGATCGTTCTCGTATTATTTTATTTTATTTATGTTCTCAATTGATCTTAAATATACATATATACAAAAAAAAAATACGAGTTAATGTATATTTTCTAGTTAAAAACGCTAAAATAATCACTTAATTGCCATTTTACAATTAATAAAATGTATTAATGAAATTAAAGGGCCGTTTACCTAAACACTTACCCAGTAAGCACATACCGGTAAAATTCAACACTATCGCTTATTTACCGGACATATTTTTTTTTTCACTAAAACGCATCGTATGTAACAATTTATCCCGGTAAGCGTAACCATAGTAAGAGTCTTCGTCCTCACTTACCGGGTAAGACTCTCGATTCTTGTATTCGTTCTTACCAGATAATATTTTTAGTTCTTGACATATTCATCCGGTAAAGTAAAATGACTTGGTAAACGCTTACTCGGATAAGCGTTTGGTAAACGACACCTAAGTTTGGCCCATAACTTTTTTTTCTATTTGTTATTTTGGTCTGAAAATATTTAAAAAAATTTAAGAAATATGTATAAGTGATGATATTAAATATGTTACAATAATTACTGAAAAATAAAAAATAGTTATGTAATAAAAGTTTTTTTAATTACTTTATATGTATTTTCAAATAACTAGAAATGTATTTGCGCAATGCAATGAGACACATCTCGATTTTAATGTTCTATTTTATTATTTATCTTTGTCGATGTTATGATACGATTTTATGTGTTTTTAATAAAGCAATAATGATTTTATTTTTGAATAAAATATAAATTTGAAGATATTATAAAATTTTGAAAAAAAAAATATCAATGTTAATATCAAATCAACTATTTAAAAAATCTCACTTTTTATGAAATAATTTATATTTGGTTTAGTAACATAACATTTTATGAAGATAATAATTAAGTATTTTGTTAAAACTCAATGATTATATTAATTATATTTTAGATTTTTTATATTTAAAATGAGATGTTTATCCTATATTTGATTATGTTTATCTGCAATTAGTTACACGAATTCAAATATAGAGTTTTAATAAGATGTACTTACGCATTTATTTACAATCTTGAGTTTTAAGTAATATGCATTAATAAACAGTACTTTATGCATAAAACGTGGCTTTAAAAAGTTTTTGTCAAATTTTTTATA